CGGCTCGCTTTCCTGGCTTTGGAAACGATGCTTGCCGCCAACCCGTCCCTCTTTACGGCCGCGGAGGAGGGAATCACGCTGCTAACGGGCTCTCCACGTCGGGGGTTACGCCCCGGGCCAGGTCGCGTGCAGGACTGGTGCTGCGTCGGCATCCGAGGATGGTCCCCTCAAATGCCGTGGCTTTTCAGGGCGGGCAGAGAGCTTTTGCCAGCCGCTTCGCTTGGCTGTGGGCACCTGCCCCAAAACGCATTTGAGACCTGGGGTTGGATTTTAAATGCCCACAAGCGGGGAGCAGCGCCTAAAGAGCACTTCAGAGCTGTCTGGCTGCCTACCAGCATCTCTAAACATGCAGGTGCCTTCAAAAACCCTGGCTCTTGCCTATGTCCAGTAAAGAGACAATCAGAATAATGCTCTTTTCAGGTGCATTTTCACACATTGAAAAGAAGAACGGAGCAAACCCTGATAGCAACAGGGTCCCCGACACCCACAAGCAGGTCAGTAAGACCCAAAAAGGGCGTGTGGTGCCTGAGAGAAGAGAAAGGACGTGCGCAGGCCAGCTCTTCACCCCAGAGTCTCGCTCTAAGCTGAACAGTGGCGTCCATAAGCATGCAGGAAACATCCCCCCGGCCCCAGCTGGCCACAAAGCAACTGCTCCACTTGGTGAAATGCTCTGAAGTTTCAGCATGTGTTCCCTTCCACACTGGAACAAAAAACAGACCTTTCCTCTTTCCTGGGACACGAAACAGCGACAGCGAGGGCTGAAGGTCCCGTAAACAGCGACAGCGAGGGCTGAAGGTCCTGCCCTGCCTCCGTGGGGACTTTCACATCCATCTCCCTGGCATATGCAGAGGAGAGAAGAGACCTTGGAGGAAGAGACCGCTTTTGTACAACTGGGGAAAATGTTCCTGCAGCTTCATTTGTATCAATCAACACTGACATCCAGTGGCTTGTCAGGATGACTACAGTCAGCCTTCCTTGCGGAGACGGGAGTGCACGCAGATCCGCAAGCTCCGGAGGCAGAGCGCCCGTTGCACCACCACCGTTCGTTGTTGCCGCTGTTTCAACGTGAAGCCGGTGCCTCCGAAAGCCGCTTGGCAGCAGCAAAGCAAACTCCCACCTGGTTGCAGAAGCGATGCAATAAACAGCCCTGCCCTTCCCTAGCTTCAGACTCCAAAACCGCAGTCACACTTCAGGGTTTCTTGGGGCCTTGTAGGGGCAGGGCGGCTCCCGAGCATGAGCGGCGATGGCACTGCAGCACCGTGGGCTTCAGTGTGCATACCTGACCCGCAGCACTGTCCCAGCAGTGCCAAAAGCTCCGCTCTCGATACGGGAATCAGTGGGAGAGAAGGTCAGTTTCTGAGACACGTGCACCTTTGCTACACCGTCGAGCTGACGGCTGTCACCCTCCCAGCCGAGCTGGCTTTTCCTGAGCGACTGTACTGGGCCGGGAGGGGAGAGATGCAGATGGCACCGTGAGAGCCTGCCAGGAAGCTCTCATAAAACAGCACGGGTAATTGTTTCGCCTTCTCCAACTTCAGCCGTCGCCTCAAAATACAGGCACAGTGGCATCCCGCCTGCTGCAAAAAGCTGCTGCTGCAGCTCAGCCTCAAGCTGCCTGTGTGCGGAGTGACAACACGGCAACCTGCTGCCAAGGCAGTGATGACGATTTCCAGCCAGAGCCACCCCACAGCCTTGCAGGGTGGAGAGCGGCTCCCCGCTGGTGGAGGGGGAGGCGGGAGGGAGCACACTCCTGCCTTCCCGCTCCGCTTCCCAGCCGAGGAGTCCCCGGCAGCGCCGTTCCCATGGGCAGTGGGCTCCGTCCCTCTCCGCACACACACATCCTCATCGAACACAGCCAGCACCAGGCTCTCACTTGGGAGGGGAGTGACGAAGCACCGGGTTGGTTTTGAGCCTCACCTGAATAGGCAGGAGACCTGGTCCCGGCAGGGGACACCTTGGAGCACCCTGCCAAGAGAGACCCCCGGAAATACAACCGGGTCCACCCTTCCTGGGGTGCCCCAGGGGGGCGCAGTGTTAGGTTGCTGGGGCTGTCAATCACTTCGCAGAGCCAGACTTTTGGGATTGTCAATCAGAGCCGTAGCAGGTCTCTCAGACTGTCAGTCAAGCCCCAGCGCTGGGTCTCCAGGACTGCGACTCACATCCCAAGCCGGGTTCCAGAGCTGTCAACCATGTCCCCATGCAGACAACATTTCTGAAGCGAGGATTTAGTTAACCCTTGCCTCACGGGGCTCGCTGCTGCACCAGCACCAGTAGGATCTCTGTGTTGAGCTGGGGAGGGATGTTTTAGCCCCCCAAAAACCCTTCAGCTCGCAGGGGCCAGCAGAAGGGCACGAAGGCACGTTTTCTGTGTTCGTTTCCCAAAATGCCTCCTCTGCAGCTGAACTTTCCAAGCCACCATCATGCAAAGCCAGCTGAGTCAGAAGGGAGCTCCCGATGCCCCAGGACAGGCTGCCAGCCCCAGGGATGCGTCCGTGGCCAAGGAGGCACGCGGGACCCCCAGGAGCAGCGCAGCCCTGCTCCATCCACCCCCGTCCTAGCAAGGAAAGCCGCCCTGCCCAAGCCGAGCGCAGGGAGCACAAGCCAAACCCTTGGGGCTTAGACCCTTTTTTGCAGGGGGATCAACATCCCCCCATCACCCTGCCAAAGTCACTGGGTTTAGCTCAGTCCTCCCTTCCCCCAAATGAGTGGGTGCACTGCTGTCATATCCCACCTGGCCGCCCAGGAGAGCCAAATGCTAGCACCCAGCATCGCCACCACCATCCAGCCTCCTTTGACTTGCCTGTCCCCTGCCCGCAGGCAGATGAGGACAGTCACTGTTAACATCTGTATAATTTTGGGGGTGGGGGGATGCTCAGGGGCTCACCATTCAGCTAGGAAAGGCAAGGCAGGGAAGCGGCTGCTTGCAAAGTGTGGGTTTGTGCCTGCAGAAATATTATGACAGGGATCTCTTCACAGAGCGGCTTTGTGCTGAGATTGTGCACAGCCTTGGAAAGTAACAGCCCGCGCACACACACACGCATACACACACTGCACACACATCCCTGCAGAGCGCACACAGCCCAGCCTGCTAAAAAGGTGCAGGAGCACCTGGAGAGTAGCCACTGCTTTTCTTACCTTTCCTGGAAGAAGAG